TTACTGCTCTAGCAGGCATCCCCACAAATATGTAACAAACAACATTAGAGCGATAAGGCAGAAACTCACAATTATCTCAGAAGATAAGAGAAAAAGCTCTTTAAAAAAAAAAAAAAGATTTTTAGAGAGAAAGGGAGAGGGGGAGAGAAAAACATCAATGATGAGAAAGAGCCACACCTCTCTGTGGGGACAACGGCAGGATTGGGGACTTGTGCCCTCTTCCCCCTTGCTTGGGAAGTTCCCCTTTCTCTAGTAAACTTACCCCTGAATCCACCCTTTGAGATGTGAATTCATCTCTGGACTTGTAAGCAACAGGCGGCCTCTAGGAAGGAATCGGCTCTGAAACCAGGTGGTGAACCCCAAAGTTCACCTTGTAGTCCACAGTTTTAAAAAATTGTTTTAAAATAGCCCGGCCGGGCGTGGCTCAGCGGTTAAAATAAAAACAGTAAGACCTTTATAGAACACATTCCTCCATTTGCTCTGTAGTCTCTTTATCTTAACCTTTACTCTTACACTGAATCTCTTTAAATTAACTGAAGTTTCTTGAGCCATAACCTTTTTCCCTTACTGCTGCAGTACGGAAGGGAATTAGACTAGAACTAGGGCTCTCCCTGACAGGAATGGCAAGACAGCAGCACCTCTAACAGCTGGCACGCTTGAGACACTCTGAGTGCTGGCACAGGGGGGCCCGAGGTCTCTGAGGTTTCTAAGACCCTTTCCCATGGAAAGGGAGCATGAGCATGTCGAAAAGGCTAGTGAGCGCCAGCAGCCTCACGAGCTCAGGGAGCCCCGGGCCAGGGACAGCCAGTCCTCATCCAATGTCCACGTAGGTGCTGCAGCTTCAGGTGAAATGATGTATAATGGAACCAACTCTGCCACGGGCTCACTNTGACAGTGTCTCATGGTGCAGACCCTGCTGGCTTCAGAAACAGGCTGGGCAACTTCTCTACAGAATGCGAATCTGACCTCAAGGTCACAGGCAGATATGCTGCCAAGATTTATCGACTACGGAGACCTAATGCAGTGTGTTTCCCCCAACTAACAGACCCATCTGCTTCCAGACTCCTAATAGTACCCAGAGGCAGGCTCCAGGTCATTACCAGCGCTGTGCAGCGCCCCACCATGAGACTCTGGGAGTTAATGCAACTCCTGGGCCAGGGTGGAGGGATGACATGCAGACAACCTATCAACATATCTGGCTTCCAGCTCAGACTTTGCCTTGGAGCAGCAGGGAGATTTACTCTGTTTACTGTTCTAGGCAATAAAGCTTAGGGAGAGGGGACTTTCTGCACTCTGCAGTCAGTGGGCCTAGAGGACCCAAGGTGGTAAGCACGCAACAGATGCATGTGGCACGTACAACATCTCTGAGTCAGTTCCCACGTTTGCCCAGCCCCCTCCCTAGAGACGGGAACACTTATGGTATCGTAGGAGATTTTCTAAGAAAACACCTGAAAAAGGAAGACAAGAAAGACCATTTAAGAAGCAGGAAAGGCCAGGTGGAGCAGCCAGAAACACAGATGAAACACTAGGTACATACACTGTGGGGTGAGGAACCAAGGCTGCTTTAAGAATGAGGACATGCCCTTCTGTGCGGCTCGGCTGGCTGAGCATCTTGCTGATCTGTCACTTGGTGATATTATCACTCACTTTATTTTATTTAAATGTTTTTATTGATTTCAGAGAGAGGAAGGGAGAGGGAGAAAGACAGAAACATCAATGATGAGACTCATTGAACATCTGCCTCCTGCTCGCCCCCTACTGGCGATCATCCCGGAATTGAACTGAGACCTGGTTCATAGGTCGATGCTCACCCACTTTAGTAAGACTATTGGACATACAGTACCCAGCACAGGGCTGGCACTTGGCAGATCACCTGGCTCCCCTGCCCTTGACGGCTCCACTCAGGAATTTATACAACCCTCCTTGCTCTCCTCCCTTAGCACCGATCATCTCAAATTGTCGTCACACCTTTGTACTCACCCAGCTTGCTTAGGTTGGGACACACACAGCACACAAGGGCCATCAGTGCTGCATAACATGCTCCCACACCAAGGAACCCAGACTCTCAGCCAAAAGCTGCCGAGGGCCCCCATCTACCCCGCCCCCTGCACTTCAGAGACCAGCCTCAGAAGCTGTTTCTTCAGTCCCATTCTTCCCTCTCTGCCTCTGATCAAATATCCTTAAACGAAAGAGCCCATGAGTAGAGAGTGTATCGTTCTGTATAAATACTTAGACACAGTTTTATGAAGTGCAATGCGCAGATAAACTATATATATTTGACTAAACTCAGTGCTTGTGATGAAACCTGCAAGAGAGAGGAAGACAGAGTGCCCTCAAGGACTGCCATGCCGCTGGAAATCTGCACTCAACTTGTGGGGTCCTTCCTGAAATGCAGCTACTCCCAGACCAGGGAACTTCTCCCTGGGACCCATCTTGCCAGCTGGGCGAGGAGCTTCCTGAGTGTAGGACGGGTTTCCTTTCCATCTTTGTATCTCTGTATCTAACACAGTGTCCTCCTCATTAATAAATGCTTATTGTTTCTCTGATTATCAGAGAAAAAAAGACAAAAACACTCTCAGCAGACATGAGCTCTCTGCCAAGGTCAGAACAGACAACTTGAGAACAAGCTCTATAAGGAGGGAGGCAGCTGGTACCTCCCTCCCAGCTATGGCAGCAATTCTTTGTTAGGGAGTAGAATGGTGCCTGAATTAGAAACAGCCCTACATGAGGGCAAAGATAAGCTAGAAATCTCACTAAGAGAAAGTCACCTGCCAGAAAACACCTTTAGACATTGTAAAAGTGAGCAGAGTGAGAGTCCAACTCCTTGCACCATCCCTTTTCAGAAACCCCAGGACACAGGGAGAGTGGTTTCCTGGTGTAATTACTGCTCTATGAACTGTAAAAGGAATCTGCAGCGGCCTCGAAACACTGCGTGGAACTTACAACATTTTTATGGTCTTTTATTTCCTTTTAAAGCCATGTCCAGTCAAGCACTGGGACCTGGAATTACTTTACTGCTCTAGCAGGCATCCCCACAAATATGTAACAAACAACATTAGAGCGATAAGGCAGAAACTCACAATTATCTCAGAAGATAAGAGAAAAAGCTCTTTAAAAAAAAAAAAAAGATTTTTAGAGAGAAAGGGAGAGGGGGAGAGAAAAACATCAATGATGAGAAAGAGCCACACCTCTCTGTGGGGACAACGGCAGGATTGGGGACTTGTGCCCTCTCCCCCTTGCTTGGGAAGTTCCCCTTTCTCTAGTAAACTTACCCCTGAATCCACCCTTTGAGATGTGAATTCATCTCTGGACTTGTAAGCAACAGGCGGCCTCTAGGAAGGAATCGGCTCTGAAACCAGGTGGTGAACCCCAAAGTTCACCTTGTAGTCCACAGTTTTAAAAAATTGTTTTAAAATAGCCCGGCCGGGCGTGGCTCAGCGGTTAAAATAAAAACAGTAAGACCTTTATAGAACACATTCCTCCATTTGCTCTGTAGTCTCTTTATCTTAACCTTTACTCTTACACTGAATCTCTTTAAATTAACTGAAGTTTCTTGAGCCATAACCTTTTTCCCTTACTGCTGCAGTACGGAAGGGAACTAGATTAGAACTAGGGCTCTCCCTGACAGGAATGGCAAGACAGCAGCACCTCTAACAGCTGGCACGCCTGAGATACTCTGAGTGCTGGCACAGGGGGGCCCGAGGTCTCTGAGGTTTCTAAGACCCTTTCCCATGGAAAGGGAGCATGAGCATGTCGAAAAGGCTAGTGAGCGCCAGCAGCCTCACGAGCTCAGGGAGCCCCGGGCCAGGGACAGCCAGTCCTCATCCAATGTCCACGTAGGTGCTGCAGCTTCAGGTGAAATGATGTATAATGGAACCAACTCTGCCACGGGCTCACTTCTATAAACAAAAATTCCCAGACTGTCTCATCAATGTGATAACGCAACAACAATGAACCAAAGGGCCTTATCCGGGGACCAGAAAGAATAGGGTTCTGTGATCCCCGGTGCCAGGCTCCTTGTGGAGCAGCAGAGTCAAGCTAGATGCTGAGAGGAACCTCACCGCACCTCTGCAGCCAACCCTGAGAGTTAGCCTGCAAAGTGCCACCTGAGAACCCTGAGAGTTCACTGGGACTGAAAGTCGCCTAGGCAGCAATGCTGGCAATGATGCATCTAAAAACACCTGCCTCATCATGATGGAAACAGACTAATAAAGGATCATGGCTTAGCAATGAGCATGTAGTCTCCTAAAAACCACCACCTCCTGCCAAGGGCCAAGGGTCACAGTGACAACAATCAGCTGAGGAAAAACCAGGACTGCGAAAACCTGAGATGCACCTGCCTCCACCAGCGGACGGCACTGGGTGGGGCATGTGCCCAGTGGGATAAAATAAACTGGCAGGTGCTCTGCCCTTGCTGGCTGCCGCCCACATCTAATCTGGCGCCTGAGGACAGAGGCCATGCCTGAGGACACGAACTCTGAACCACTTCAATTCTGCCTGGAAGCTTCCCCACAGAGCGTCACCTGACTTTAGAATACACTACTGATGTCTTAGTGTATTACTGTTCAGGAAAAATATAAATTTCACCAGCTAAGTCAAAGTTCTGGGTCCTGATTATTCCGAAGCTTCACTCTCACTGGACTGTTGCCGGGGAAACTCATTTTACAATCAGCATAAAACGATTCATCTCACTTTTGGCCTGACAGCCAGTAGTTCTAGGGATGTCATTGCCGAATATCAGAAAGTCTGTCTGAAAAGATGAACCGTGATACAGGCCCAGTAGTAATCTTTGTGTGTGGAAACTGGTAACAGATCTTAGCAAAATACCCCAAAACTATCACACCTAAGTTATTAAATAAAAACAGGTTTTTAGGAATGTCCCCAGACTAAACAAACAAACAAAAAACAAAAACAAAACAAAGAACATGAAGGCAGAGAGGAGGCTAGAAATGTTCAAGGCTCTTAGTTTTCTACAAACTCTGGTTTGGGAGAGAAGGTACCTTATCCATATGGAAGATCAAATCCAATTCACAAACGTTTTCGAAACATTTATCCAGGGTCTCCACGAAAACCTAGGAAACATAAAGAGAGGTAAGGAAGAGAAATGGGGAATACTCCTATCTTCATAAATATCATATCTGAAAGTAAAAGGGATTGTCCTCATATTATTTACCTTATGGTAAATCTCAAACAAAACAAAACCTCTTGGTTTTCCTATCTTTTCTCTCCCACTTTCCTCTCAAGTTTTTAATTTCTAAGAGATCATTTTGTTTGTGTTCCTTGTTTGTTTAGCAGCCAGTGTTTGTCTTCTTTTATTACTCTATGGTTTAAAGATAAGGGGTTGTTTCTCTCTCTCCTTTCCTTTCTCTAAAAAAAATTCAATAAAGAACATTAAAAAAAAGAGAAAGGGTTTTGTTTTTTTTTTTTTTAAAAAAAAAAAAAAAAAGAGCAGTCATATGTATCTGTTTTTCCTAGAGCCTCAAAACACCATTATTCAAGATAGTGAAACTGAAGGAGTCGGGAGAGAGCTTCGGCAAGGCAAGAAACAGAAAAACAAATCCAAGCCTGCTCAAGTATGGGATCAATTGAATTCTGAAAACAAAGACCAAAATGTCAAATTTAAAAAATGAATGGGTATGTTGATCAAGAAAAGTGACTAGACTTGGAACAGGAAGTGCTTGGAAATCGAGAAGCTCAGTCTCATGGCACCACCTGGTGGACATCTGGCAACTTTTACCAAGATCACTAAAGAGACGGACAAAAGGATCTGCCTAGTGGCTACTCAAAAACCCAGTGCAAACTAAAGTGCCTGCCACCATCAGCTGACTACACATACCTGGATGAGGTCCAAGATCCCGAGCTCACTCTCCGACGAATCCACGCAAAATACAAAGTAGAGGGTAGCGTAGTGCCGATAGATCAGCTTGTAGTCAGGGCCACCAATCAAACTGTGGGGGACGGGAATCGTCTAAATGCCTGTATCTCAGCTGAACACATCAAAGAGAAACTCTGTCCCAGGGAATGAGAACGACCCAACAAAAAAGAGGAGGACAGGCCAGAGGACAGGGCGGTTCTACGAGGTGAACACAACCAAATTTGGCAGTGGTGCCTAAAGCCACTTTACCTCTGCCCATTCTCCCGGGAACCAGACCCCTAAGTGAGTAATATCTGAAACACAACTGTCTAACAACTTCCAAACAAAATCGGGTCTCTCCCTCAGCCGACAGTGCCAAGGTCAGCTCCAGGTGCATTGGGTACCCTCCTGACACTTGAGTACTGTCCCAGGAAGCAATGACGACGGCCACCCAAAAGTGGGTATATGCGGAGAAAAATAAAGCTGATCATTTACCTTCCACCCTCCAGGAAGTTACAGATGTTGTCATCCCTTTTGAGGACTAGATGGAAGGTCTCACGAACAATCTGCTGTTGAATTTCTTCTGGCTACAGAATAAAAGAAATAAGGCGAGTCAGTGGGGACGACTGAAAATACATCCCACCGATGGAGATGGACAGGGAGAGATGCGCTTCCAAGCTGGGAATGACCTGAACACTTGGCACCAGTTTCCAGAAAAGATAAAAATTATGAGTTAGAAAAAAAATAAAAATAAAAGGGGAACCTCTGAAAAAAATGGACCAAGGCTCTGTTATAGGAATTAAGGCCCTATTCTCCTGGCTGTGTCTGGTCAGTAGCCATTATCACTCTGAGAGGTAAGCTGATATTTCTTCACAGTTAATAACGAAAAACAGGAGAACTGACAACTCTCAAGCAAGGTAAAAGGAAATCTGAAAGGCCTGGTCCTGGAAGTCTGTCCTCCCGTAGAAAACATCTACAGCAGGGTAAATAACGTCAATAGGTCTAACAATGCCAATCCAAACGTGGTATATCCCTACGGTGGAATATAATTTGGCAACAAAAACGGTTGAAGGACTGATACATACTACCACATGGATAAACCCTGGAAACATACTGTGCTAAGTGAAAGAAGCCAGTCACAAAAGACCATGTATTATATGAGTCCATTTATATCAAATTCCCAGAATAGGCAAATGTAGAGAGACAAAGTAGATTAGTGGTTGCCTAGGGCTGGGGCACGTGAGGGGAAAATACAGAATAATCGCTAATGGGTAGGGGTTCCTTTTTGGGGTAATGACAATGTTCTAAAATTGTGGGGATGGTTGCATAACTTTGTGACCCTATTAAGAAACCACGGAATTGTACATTTTTAAATAGGTGAACTGTACGGTAGGTGACATAGCTCAATAACACTTTAAAAAAACTGAGAGAGCCCGGCCGGGTGTGGCTCAGCAGTTGACCAATGACCTTGGATCCAGGAGATCGAGGTTCAATTCCTGGTCAGGGCACATGCCCGGCTGCAGGTTCGATTGCCGCTCAGAGGGTGCGAGAAGCAGCCGATCAATGACTAATGACTCTCTTATCATTGATGTTTCTCTTTCTCTCCCTTTTGCTGAAATCAATAAAGATATATTTAAAAAAACACACAAAACACAACCACACAAACAACTGAGGGAAAAATTCACACACACACAAAAATGCCAACACAGACTGAGCGGATATACCAAATGCTAATATGTTTTTGCCTCGACATAACTGTTTAAGAAAGTATAATCTAGCTTGAAAAGGTCCTATGAAAACGATAGTTATGTCTTTCACTTCTACTTGGCAGAAGAGGAAATAAAAAAATGAAAAATGAAAGAGGGTTGTGAGACTGTCCACGGACACAAAGGTTTTGTTAAAAAAAAAAAAAAGAAGAAAAAAAAGGGGGTGGAATTAAGGCTTGAACATAATTTCCTCTTTCCCTTCTCGGACTTCACGGGTCCACGCCCATCACTATGTCACATGATAACATTACGGGGCGTTTCGGGGCAGGAGGCGAAGAATGAAGCCAGTGTTTTTGTGTGTGTGTGGGGGGGGGGGGGTTGTTTTTTTTTTTTTTTTTTTTTTAAAAAAAAAAAAAAAANAAAACCAAGCTCCCATTCTCACTGACCGAGCAGCCAGCTCTCGTTCCCCACTTGGAAACCGACTTCCCCGAACCGTCCCCGTCAACACGGACACGACACGCCTCCAAGGGAGCCCTTCTCCTGACTCTCTGGCTTAAAGCAAAAAAAATAAATAAAAATAATAATAATAACTTTCAGAGGCTGCATATGCCTTCCTCCTGGGGAAACTGAGTTTAAAGGAGAATGAAAGTGACTTAAATCTGTCGTTTCCCCCGCGAGGCGCCCCCGCCGCGCCCCTCACAGGCCCCTGAGCCCCGAGGAAGAGGAAGCGTCATAAAAAATGGCCCAGAAACGCCGGGTCCGTGAGAGCGGGGGCGCGGGGTAGGAGGCCGGGCACCGGCCCGG